TATGTTAAGTTTCATAATTGGAAAAATTTAGCTTCCGCATTTATTGAGCTGCGCTATTACCATTTATATGTTTAATACATCGGGTGCACACGGGGTGTTAATATCACCACTTTATAAGAAATTATAATATTTTGAGTAAATAATCAACCTTTTTCATCTTGGGATTAATTCTTTAAATCTTTAAATGTAATAATTTTATAAATCAAATCATCGGTGATATATGTTTTGATAATAACAAGAGGCAAACAACAAAGAGATAAAAGTCTTAATCAAGAGGAAAAAGCATCTAGTATGTGTAAAAATTAAAAAACGAATGTTGGAGCCATATAAGAATAATGGTGAGATAACAAGGTGGCTTGAACATAGGTGAGCTTGAAAGAGAGCAAGCAATAAGACAAGAGCATTGGATCAAAGCAACAAGGAAGAAAAAGAAGAGCAAAATCGAGATTAATGGCAACAAGCCATGAACAACCTTAAAAAGAAGCTAATGTCACAAGTCATGGTAAAACTTGATCAATTCCAACATAGTATCAAGTATTGTTAAACAAGTCAAAGCATCAAGCTCAAGTGAAGAATGAAGATTCAAGTAAAAGCAACAAGCTAAGTCCAATTCCCTATTAGAATACACTTTTATGACTTAGATATGATTGTAAGGGTATATGATAGATTGCATTGTATGAGTTCAAAGTATTTTTAAATTTGTATATTTTAAGATTGCACAAAAGTTTTGGAAAAAGTTGTAAAACATGGATGAAATATGTTTCAACATGTTTAATCTTAATAGACATCTTTCCAAGAGCTTTTTTATATTTTTAATTGTTAGAAAAATGTTTGCATGAAAAAAGAATAAGTTTGGCCGAAGTTTCTAATCTTCAATAAAGTTGAGAATCAATTCTCGTATGTTGGGAACAAATTTCCTTCCTAGAGGGAATCAATTTCCTCTTAATGAGAACAGATTCCTTTGTACTATGAAGGTTGGGAATCAATTCCTCTTGCTTTGGAATCGATTCCCTTTGCACCAGAAACAAAATAACAGTTATAACTTGCGAGTTTTCAATGGAATCACTATATATATATATATCCCCCAACAACTCTAAAACATTTTGTTCACTATTTCTACATATCTTAAGGATCATTTTAGAGCTTCTACATTATCATTTACACATTCTTTCATATCTTTCAAAGATTACACATATTTGAGCTCATATCTTGAAAATCTACTTTGAGAGTGCAAATATTTATTAAAACTATTTCTCATTATATTATTAAGTTAAAGGGAAGTGAGACCCTAAGAGATTGAGCGGTAGCCCAAAGACTAGTAAAATTTTGAGGTTATACCAGTTTGCCAGGCACCCATGAAGCTTGATGGAAAGCGAAAGAATTGATTGATCAACTTTAGTTTAGACGTAAGTCCACAAATAGTGGTGACCAAATCATGATAAATTATGTTTGTAATTCTTTAATCTCTAAACTATTTATTAAATTTCTAAACTATTTATTTCTAGCACTTTAAGTGCTTTTGATATTTTATATGTGCTAGTATAGTTTCTATAATTGTAATAAATTATATCATATGCATTGTTGTCAAAAACTAGTCTAAAAACGTAAAAACGTAGAAACGCAGTGTAAAAACGTGTTAAAACGTAAGTAAAAATGGTCCTTAGTAGAAACGGGAAAAAACGCCGTGTAGAAACGTAAAAATGGTATAAACGCAAGTTTTTACATTTTTTGCCGTTTTTACTTAAACTCAATTTTAAAAAAAAAAACAAATACAACCTATTTTCCATTTTTTAAAATTCAATTTTCTCTTTTAATGTTTTTGGACTTATATCTTATATAGTCATGTGACTTATATCTTTTAAATATGAAGTTATTTATTAAATTTTGAGTAGTGACTTATGTGAATTTTTTTTTACATTCATATATATAATTTTGTATCTTAACCTTACGTAGTAAAAATTTTATGTTTCGTCTCGTTTCTACGAATTACGTTTCTACTACCCCTTCTATTTCTACGTAGAAACTCATTTTGACTACATTGATCATATGGATTGTTTGAATTGATTAGCTCTACATACAACAAAGTTTGCACAACAATTAATAAATATTAATCAATATTAAAAAATTAAATTACATTACAAACATAAAGATTGCATAATTAAATTTCTAATCATTAATTATGAATTACAAACTACTATATATATTAATGACTAATTATTAATCATAAATTAATTAATAATTCCTCATGATTCACTAATCTCTACTCACAATTACTAGAAAAAATTATTGATCCAATGCAAACTAATTGGTTAATAACTAATTTTTAAATTAAACCTAACTAAATAATTCAACATTAAAAAAATAAATAAAACTATAAAGAATTACTTACCTTGAGTTAGAGTGAAAATGAAGAGAATTTAGGAGTAGGAATGGGAGTGGGAGTGTAGTGTGACAAGTTGTTGGAGAAAATGTGGTAGATTGAGAAGGAGTTGGGAGTTTGGGGTATTTATGGTAAGGTAGAGGGGGGAGTAGGGATGTGCATAGATCGGTTTGTTTTTGTTTTTATGTCGAATCAAATAGAACTGTTTTCAATTGTTTGGTTTTTAAACTGAACAGATTTACTTTTTCAAAACCAATTTTTTTTTTGTTTAACTGGTTTGTGGTTTATAACTGATTTGAAACTTGTTCCAAAACTAGATTTGAAATCAATTCAAAACTAGTTTATCTCTTAATTGATTTTGAACTGAATATAAACAAGTTCTGAAATGATTTCAAATCAATTTTGAATTGGTTCGAATTGATTTTTAGCATTTTGAGTCATTTATATACTTTTGAACTTTGAATATATTGCTTTTGACTTAATATTGTAAGATGATACAATAACATTTATTTCTCTTTTGAATGACGATGCAGTCCAACATATTTATCCTTTATTTGCAATAATTTCTTTTTAATTTCAAGTTTTCATTTTTAAATTTATTGAAAGACGTTTTTTTAAAATGACTTTATTTATTTTTAACAAAATGATATAGAAACATATTTATATATACATTATTTTATATTAATATAATTTTTAATATATAATTAAAATTAAATTTATTTTATTTTACATATCCTTAAATTTATATTCTAACACATACATTTAATGTGATATGGGACAAATATTTTTCTTGTGAATATTACTAAAAAATGATAAACTCACTCTTTTGGTAGGTAATTTTGTTCAACGATGAAATGCAACCAAAATCATTGTACTATCACGATGGGTTTTAAAATATTTTTAAAAAAATACCTATTCACTCCTCGTTATAAAATTAAAAATATATAAAATATGAGAATAATACTTTTTTGTAGATTAATAATATTTACTTTTAAAAAAATTTAAATAATCATAAGAATAACATTTTTCTAAATTTTGAAAAGGAATTGAATTTTTCTTTTAATATCGGTTTGGATCAATTCTTTTAGTTCTCAAACCGGTTCAGTTAAAATGGTTTACTTTGGTTCATGAACCAATTTAGATAAAGTAATTTGTTTCATAAATCGATTTAAAAAATATAGATTTTTTGGGGTGATTTAGTTCGACTCCTAAAGCGGTTTAATTCTTTTTAAAAAAATTGCACAACCCTTGCTAGATTTTTGTTCGTGGAACTCACATGAAATAAAAAAATTAATAAATATAATGAGTCTCGCAGCCATCCCCTGTGCAGCACTCATTTGAAAATAAAAATAAAGTAAAATAAAATAAATTTTTTTTATGGAAGTGGATCTGCAAAACTCAAAACCTTTCATTGAATAATATTTTCCATATATACCAAATATGCAAAATGACCGTTGAAATACTCAATGGAAACAGCCCAATATCTTTCATTAATTTTTCTTTCAACGAGGAGGACTATCATAATCCTTTTTTAATATGATCGTATAAAGTACTGGTTACATCATCTCACAAAAATAAAGGGTTTGAAATTTTATAAAAAAACAAATACTTGCACAACATATAATAGAAGCGGTATAATTCATTCACATGATTTTTTTAATTTATGGATAGAATTTTGCTGCTAATTATTTAAATGACATTTTTCAATTTAGAGGATGCAAATAAAAAAATTCAAAATCATCATATAAAGTGCATCTTTCAATTAGCTTAATTAGCTTAATATTCATTTTAATTATTTAAAAAACATTTCAATTACTTTTTGAGTTTGTTGAAAATATATCAATGAAAGAGCCCACAATAAAACCAAAAACCAAAAACAACCTCTTTGACTGCTACATCTACTAGTCCCTACCATCCTCTTGTGTGTTGACAATAAAAACCAAGCCACTAACGCAAACCAAATCAAACCCAAATAATAATAATAATAATAATATGGAAAAATTACTTGTTACTTTAAAAGATTTAATTTTATGTAATTTAAAGTAAAAAAATTGGTAATTTTTTATATTCTTTATCTTCCATAAAATTAAAAAGGGAGATAAAAAAATATTACAGTGGAGAGTGAAAACAAAAAAATCACTAAAACATCGTCATTTCATTTAAATTGACATGAAGTTGTCAAATAAAATGATGGTGTCAATTCATAATAATAGGATAAAATGTTTGTTATTTAAAAAAAAAAAACTATATCATTTTTAAGTGAAATAATAACGTTTTGATTTTTTAAGCATGTTTAGTGATTTTTATATTCTTTCTCTTTCACAAAAATCAGAGAAAAATGAGAGTTTCATGGAAAAAAGAAGATAAAAAATAAACAAAACACGGTAATTTCACAACTTTCACCAATATTTTTCTCATATTATTATTGTTATTATGGAAAAATGACACATCTTGTGTTATTTTACACTTACAAAGAGATATAAGTCTCGCACTTTTATTTTTTTATCTTTATTTTTTTAAATGAATTCCATCTCTTTATAAAAATAAAATCGCACAAAACATGTGATTTAAAATGATATACATTTTTTTCTATTATTAATATTCTGTTTTTCCCCAATCATTCACAGTCGCAGGTCATTTGTACACTACGATAATGGCCGCCATCATTTCACGAAGGTTAAGGGTAACCTCTGCGCTCCTAAAACCCTCTCGTTCTTCTTCAACAAACTTGTTGATCAATAACCCTCAATTCCCAATCTCTGAACCCTCTTCTTCTTCTTCTTCCTCTTTCACCTTTTCACACTTGTTCTCACAATCCACAACCCCTTCAAACTCAACTACAAAACCCACTTCCCATTTCAATCTCGATCCCGATCCCTTTCCATCATCACACACAGGTTCAACCATTCACGTCCTCCATCACTTGAATTCGATTAACCCTTGTGTTCCACGGTCATCAGTGGCAAGACCCAGGTTTTTCTCAACCAAAGATGCTTCACCAGACCCATCATCAGAATCTGAATCAGAGTCAAACCCAAGTCCATACCCAAGCCAAAACCCTGATTTCAAGCACCAGGAGATTGAAGGGCCCACCGTTGAACGAGACCTTTCATCGCTGGCAAACGAGACACGAGAGGTTCTTGAGGGGATGATGAAGAGTATCTATGGTTTGAGCAAGGTTGTGGCGTTTCTGGGTATGGTTCAGCTTGGTCTTGGAGCTTGGATCACCTACATCACTAGGTCTTCACCAATCACTGAGGTTTCTGTGCAGAGCTTTTTGGCGTTTGCGTTTCCTTTCTCTTTGGCTTTTATGCTGCGTCAGTCGTTGAAGCCAATGCACTTCTTTAAGAAGATGGAGGAGCAAGGTAGGTTGCAGATTCTGACACTCACTCTCCAAGTTGCTAAGCAGTTGAATGTTTTCTTTGTTCGAGTTCGTGGGGTTTCATTTCTTTGCATTGTTGGCATGTCAATTGGGGTGGTGTTTGCTGTGTTTTCAAGATGAGCTCAGCTCAGTTCTGTTCAGTTCAGCTGATTTTGGTACTCACAATCATCGACTCTCTATGTGTGAGTTTTGATTTTCCTGCATAACCATTTGATACCTGAAAAGCTATGGGTATATATAGCTTTTGAATTTACGCAGCTTTTTTACGATTTTCACAATCCTGTTTGGTTTTAATGGGATATTGATGACACCAGAGATAAGAAATAATCATTATTGTTGGACGTGCTTGCTGTGTACGCTTTATCTTTGATCAACCTCTGTCACCTCTTGTGGTTTATGTATTCTTCGAACGTTGTTGATGTTAGTTTTACATCAAGAGAGATTAAAATTTACTGTTTTAACGAAACTAAATTAATGTCATTCCGTGATAAAACAAAATATATATGAAATTAACGTTTGGAATAGATTTTGGTGATTTAGAAAGTGGTCTAGCTTGTCATATGCTAGATATTCCTGTTAGAATTCACTGTTCTACATGTCGAACTGTGTAGATGTTATTTAAAGAAATGGAGATTAACTGGCAATAAGTCAAGATGTGAAGAAAGAACGATTTCTAATGCCCCGGTAAAGAAACGATCTCAAGGGAAATAGAAAACAAATTCTGGAGCGATTAGTCCCGTGAATGATAACACTAAAACTTTCGTCGAGAACCCATCAAGAAAGTCATGCAATAGCCTGGATAGATTTTACTTCATATTTTCATTTCCTTCATCTCGTTACCCTTAAATTCCTGATCTGACTTATAGAGAAACGGATCACAGGACAAATAGACTTGCAAAATACCCATAACAAACGCACTCATACATGAAACGCAAATCATATATCATAATAATAATAATAATAAGGTATCATTAGCCGCAAGAACAGAAAGAATCGAGTATCTAACTACGTATACACAGTGAAGTTGAATGAAGCAATCTTACAAAACTCAGCTTACCTATGTTTTTCATTTTTTTTTCCCCAAATTTTTCTTTCACCAGCAACGCTTACTTAGTAACAAATACGAAAAAGATTATCCCCCAACCAAAAAGACAACGTCAGGTTCCACACTGCCCTACGCTTTACTTCAACTGTAGGATAATAATGGGAGGAAATTTTAAAATCAGGATCCCAACTATTTCCAGTGCATACACTATTCTCAACTTCATCCCACCAAAATATTTTTCCATCTGTGACTCCAATAATTGAAGATGAAAAATAGACATTATTAAAATTCATCTACTAACTTGGATATCTAGATATTTAAATTTCCTCCACCATGTACAGAGAATAAAATTCCAAAAATTAAGCCCTGGTATTTCCCTACGTTCACAAGTTTTTTTTTTTTTTTCCTTTCTTTTTTTGGACCATCTGACATTACGCCTCTATGATGCAACCTTTAGTCCGCCACCATCTTTCCAAGTAAACTACGTAGTACTCAAGCTAACCTTCTAGCTTAGATTCTGTTCTGACATAGGTGAGACCTCGAGCAGCAGGTGCAGAAATAATACCGCTGTTATTTAAAGCTGCACCATTATCAGATGAAGTTCCCTGAGCATCCCGCTTCCATTGCAAGCTCCTGGCACCAAATTTAATTGGCGGCCTTGACCTAAATGCCCCAGTAATACCTCTTGGAAAGGGAACCCTCGAATACCTAGCAGCAGAAGGAAACGGAGATCCCCTAACTACACGAGGCCATGGCGCGGCTGGAGCAGATTCTTGATGTGCAGCACTTTTCCTCACAACCTGCAATAGATGAGTTATGGCAAAACAATTCAGTTCACTAAACATCTCTTTCGCCCCCCAAAAATAATAATAATAATAAATCTGAAAAAAAAAAAAACAATTCACTTGCATCATTTCAACATGATTTCATATCAAATACAGAAATTGGCTTATCCTGACATGATTTAGTTAAAACTGAATAGAGGTTACCATATGGTCTGGACAAGTTAACATTTGTTTTGCACGATGAATGTTACAAAAGTATAAAGAGCAACTCTTCCGTTTCTTGAACAGGACAATCCTCAATTTAAATTGAAGAACTCCTCCACATTGATGCTGTGTGTAAGTATAAGGGGGCAGTTACAAAATTATTTTTCTTATTACAAGTCCTAAATGCAATCATTAGAAGTTAGAAGGGTATTATTTATTGTTCATTTGACGTTTCCCAATTTAAATTTTTTTAGGCCAGATTACCAACATACCATATTTGAACTCCTAGTCATTAAGATAAATTTCCCTGATTTATATTTGTTAACACTAAAATAGGACAATATACTATTCAATCAAACAATTCATTTCCTAAAACACGAGTGATGATGAACAGAATCTTAAATATGTAATAGAAACTTGACATGTAAGTAAAATTATATTCAGTTGTAAAACAGATTAGTACGAGTCATTCCCAACCCTTTTCTCCCCAAGAAACTCAGCTAGTCAGATGAGATGCGATCCCATTTTAAGGTATCCAGCGAGACACCTTCCAGGGCCAGAATTAATTGGCAACATCAAGAACCATGCAACAAAAGATCTCAGATCACAAACTAATCCTTTTGAGTGATCAAACATGGACCTAACTGAATCACCATCCATATCGACTTTACACAGCCAAACTCATATATATCCAGCAATTATTTATTAACTGCACATATAAAAAGATAAGGATAATTCAAAGAGACCAGTGGCAGAATTTCATCAAAACATTTGAAGGGGCATGTAACGGAATCAGAAAAGTTGGGAGAAGGTTCATTGACACCAACTCTCACAAAACACATGCTTATTTTCAGAATCATTTGATTCAAGTTTACTTTAAGGAAAAGTACTTTTATTGGTTCATCAAGTCTGCAAGTAAATATTTATATACAAGTACTAGAAATTCGGGATACATTTGAAGAAATAAGCTTTCCACAAATCGAGAATATAGATGCATAAAAAAGAGACTCGAAGTTAGAGGTGCATCAACACTTTCACTTCGGGATACAATCACTAGGTTTCAAAAATATAAAAGGCAAACCCCAATGCACAAGGCTCCCTCACTAGTGAGGGTAGGGGTGAATGTCGATTATACGCAACCTTATCCATGCATTTTTGCAAAGAGGCTGTTTCCAAACTCAAATCTGTGATCTTCCGATAACAAGAAGCAATCTTACTGCTACTACAAGGCTCGTCCTCACCAGGTTTCAAGATTATAATACAGAAAAACCAAGAAAAAATAACAAATGACTAATTAGGAATAACTCATTTGGTTATAAAAGGGAAATAAAAGTGAGACCCATGAAACAAGTTGACTCAAAGAACAGATCAATGGCAGTTCAAACAAGACTCTCACCTTCTCTTAGTATGAAACCATTTTAATATGTTAATCATAGTGTTTAAAAAAAAGTGAGGGGCAGCTCCCCCAGCCCTTGTTAACATCCAGCATTGAAAGAGACCATTGTCATAAATAACAGTTATTAGAGATATGTTCAGCTTCTGTCGCATTAAGTGTCAGCTGTATTAAATGTATTATGTATTACTTTGACTATTATAGTTACTGTGCAACAGGTTGTATAGAATCATTTTTACTGATTCTGTTAGACTAGTTAGTTAGGGAGTTAGGCTTCTGTTACTGATACTGTATTGTTATCCAGCTCTACAAATAGAGCCGTATGTAGTTGATTGTGTGTTGTTGAATCAGTATTAAGAATGCAATTTTCTCTCAGTTTCTCTCTCTACAATTCCCTTCTTTTTCCCTCGCTTTCTTGCCACTATCTCTTATGGTATTAGAGCCCTCTTTTTGAGGAGCCTGATCCATAATTGCCTGCACCTATGTCTTCCTGATCCAACTTGTCAGGCCCAAATGCAAATTCCTCTCGATCAAACAGAGGAACTTCGATGGAAAAATCTCCTTCCTCTCTCAAGATTTAAGCAAAACTCACAGAAGATGATTATGTGTCCCCTGCCCCCGCAGTGAGAAACATCAAAGGGAAGGGGGGAACCCAACATTGTTAAGGATGCCAGTAAATAGTGTTTGTCATCTCAAACTTAGTTGTAGGGAAAGAAAGTATCCAAATATATTCCCTTTTAGCTTTCTTTTACAAAATCACAACATTCATTCTTGTCTTACCACAAATTCCATATAACACAGTTCCTATTGAAGAAACTAAGGAAAAGTTTTCTCAAAAATTGTAAGGACTCGCAGACCTATATAGTGGTGAGAGGCTACGGAAGGTCTACAATAGAAGGAGAGGCAAGTGTGGACCAGAATTGAAGGAGAGTGGGCCTGCACAAAGAAATGCAACTGAGGAAGATGCAATTGGACAATACGAGGCAAGCCCAATTGGGGGGGACTCAGCTCCAAAATAATGTAATAGAATGGGAGAGGAAAATAGTGGTGTGGGAAGGGAAGTTAGTTACAGGAGAGAGAATGAGTGGATGGGGAGAAAGTAGTTATACGAAAGGGAATGCAAATTGTAAGGGATAGCTTGAGTCTGTGAGTGGAGCAGTAGGGAAAAGGGTACTCAGGGAGTCCCTTTGGTGTTTTTCTTTATTATTCCAAGGCGGTTTCCAGCCATTAAAGTGTGGTCATTGTAGTTTTGCATCTGTAATCTTTCTACGAGCTAAAGTGACTATGCTTGTGGGAAAATTTCAATACAATTAGCTGTTTCTTTCCAAATCTGTGTGTGATTAAATTCTGTTTCATCATATAGCTAACACCTTTTTCCTAACTATTGAAACAGGTGTTTTATTCTGATCCAAGTGCAAAAGCATAGCAGTCAGCTGGCAGTTCATTTTGAGCATTGCTCATATAGGTTAGTGAGGCAATTAACAGCTTATCATGATTTAAACTATCCAATCAATTTTGAAAGAAAGAATGGAAGAACACTGAACATGAATAATTAAGAGGAAAAGCATCTACATAACTAAAGTACTACGCAGAGACACCAGTACCTTAAGAATCCGTGACATGAAGGAAGTTCCATCCGATGATAATGCATTATCTGCTGCTTCCTTTCGCATGAACTCCACATAAGCTGCCCTGCTCAAAAAAAAAAAAAAAGGAATCAATATACAGATCAACACAACATTCAACATATGATGAGCAAGAACAACATCTGAAACTTCTTACCCTTTTGGTTGCCCTGTTGTCGGATCAGTAACTATAACAACTTTTAGCACATCCCCAAATTTATTAAAATGCCGAGATAGGCCATCTTTAGTAGCAGCAAAATGAACCTTAGAAAATCAACACAAAGCAACTTAAGCAAATGAACAAATCCTACCTATCCCAAAGTCTCCCTCCCCAAGCCACACAACAAAGGAGTAGGAGTTATTACATTACTAGCAAAAATGGTTCGGGAATCAGCATCCTCTAACGGACGACCAGCAGCACTTGAACCTGATAACATAAAAGCCGAAATGAATTATACACCTTCAGATCCTGAAGAGTGATAAAATGCACTGCAAAATGTGTAACTTAAATGTACTATGCCAGAAATATAATTTCCACATGCCTCTTGGAAGCAAGTGTTTCAAAGAAATAGAAAACTCACCAGAAGTAGATAGTTGTGCCTTCTGAGATCCTTTCTGCAAATCCGAAGCAGGGTTTGCCTGTTAATGTCATAATATCAGTGAAAACAAGCTAAAATTGAATGGTCAAGCATATTATATTATTAAGTTATAACAAAACTCCAAGTGTGATCAGAATGTACGCATGTAAAAAACTCACATTCCCATTACTAATTTTTATAGCTTTTGCATTCTCTTTCACCAGTTGCAGGCCAGATCTGGAAGCTCCCGTTTCACTGCCTAAATTTTTACGGCCATCTAAATCAACAACCTCTCTTAGTTCATGGTATTGTGGTGGGCCTGCTGGCTTCCAAGCATTTACATTAACAGACATGTTCACTATCTTGGAAGTATTAGGAGCAGTATCAGGTTGCTCCTGATCTCTATTTTGTTTTAGAAGCATACTATCATCAGTGTTTTTGGCTACACTATAGTCCACCATCAGTGAATCATCCCTGTTTCCTACAGAGGAACCAAACTGAGAAGCTCTAGTCATCCTATGACCCATAACATTCACATCATCAAACCCTTCATTGTCTGAAGTAGAATCAGAAGGAAAACCAGTTTCATGTTCCAACATTGTCATATTTGCAGCATCCTGACCACCATAGTCAGCTCTTTGAAGATACAATGATTGACTTTGCTCCTTATGTTGGTAATTATCTTCAATTTGGATGTTAACATCTGATGGATTCATATCATAACCAAGCCTATCAAATACGCTTCTTGAAGATTTGAATTTTACCACATCTTCAGCAGCTTCTGCCACAGCCTTCATCACTGTTGCCATGGGGTTTGCCACCCTGGAAACAGTCTGAATCCTCTGAGGACGTTCAACCAAGGATGAGTCAACATAGGATGTAGAAACTACAGAACGAAGGCGCTTCAAAGAGGGCTCCACCGGCATGCTTGAATTAGAGGGCCTTGAAGTAGCCACTGCATCTCGCACTGCAAACTGAAGAAGCCGTCGAGGAGCATCAATAGTTACTTGTGAAACTGAATCCCTCTGTCAAAGTAACTTGGTAAGCTAGATGCTTGAAAGCAAATGATAAAGACGTATTTACTTGTTTACATAAAAAGAAAAAATTAAGAAAATAAATATAACAAGGAAAGTAGCAGAGTTCTAATTATATTTGCATGAGATATAATTTGTTTCCCTCAGTCATTGGGTCAAGGAAAGTGGCATATAAAATGCATCTAAAAGAACGTGAATGCAGATAAACTGTAAGCAATGGGGATTCAATGCATTTCCAAAATGCAAGGGTGCAGTGTCCAAATCAAGTGAAAATAAAATCATTAAAGCAATTAATAAGAGTCGACATCATTAGCTTACGTAATAAATTCATTATTGGTGTTGGAAAATCGCTAAAAGAACTTAGATTATAAAAATTTTACTAAGACTCGACATCATTAGCAGTTCAAACCTTTGTCTTCTGCTGTTCATCAGTGCGGCCCCTTTTCCTCTGAGCTGATGCAGGAGGAGATGGTGACTTTAGACCACTGTTGACTGTAGATCGGGTTTTTTCCTCCAAATGAGTATTGTGAACCTCAAAGCTATGTAGGGCTGGTGCTGCAGCTTCTCTCCCCATTAATTCTTTCCAATCCTTGCTACGGCGACTTCTAGATAACTTACTAGCCTTCACTTTTTCTGACTGTGAATTCAAATGCTGAAAACCATCACCTACAGCTTGGACCTCGGATATAAGCTTTCTTTTGGGAGCTTCATCCTGCAATTCTTTAGGATGTACATACAAATCTATATTCAAAGCCAAATGATCCCACAGCCTGTTAACAAGATACAAATACAAATTGGCACAAACAATTATGGGTGTAAGTACTATATTTCTCACATTTACATCAATTTTATTTGTATCCATTAAAAAGGGATAAACAGAAGTTACCAGGATACAAAAGAATCACTGTCGTCCCCCAAAAAAACATTCAACTCATTCTGTGCTTGTTCTTTTCCCCTACCATTCCTCAGTAACACAATAACATATTCCTGCGAACACATAAGGTGCACTTTAATATCCATTTGTAATAATAACTATTTTACATAAATAAAGTCAATTCCATCATTTGAAAATTGTAATATCTCACAGTAAATTGCCTTTCTTCAACCACCAAATATGACATATCAACTATTAAAATATTAAAAGAGAGAGAGAGAGATACCATACTCATGCGTAAAAAATTAAATAAAATAATAGAGAACCTTAACTGTCCAATATCCCTGTGCATTAAGTTAAAAACAGAAAACAGTCTTACAACAAATAGCCAGGGCATCACAGTTTTCATTGTTACAGGGGTAATGGTTCTTTATGACATGATGTGTTCTTCAAGAAAAGAGTTTGTACTATTCATTTATTCTTCTCCAGATATCTTCATGATTGTAGAAGAACAAGGTTTGTGAAATAGACACTTGAAATAAAACCGAAGAAAATCTAATTGTACCAAAGAGTGCTGCATTTTAAAAGTACCATTCAATTCAAGTATTGAAGGCATAAACTTCCTCAAGCAAAGGGATTCTACAATAATAGACAGCTTAGAAGAGCTTCAACTATAAATCACTTACATCGTAACCGAGTGCTCAGCAATTACTTACCTCAAATTTTCACAATCATTTTAATGAGAAAAATAAACCAGGAATTATCTAAATCCATAGTTTTATGCGATTCCAAAACAACCATCGAACACCCAACAGATGAAGCAATATCAATGGTACCTAAATCATCATTCAAAACCAAGTTGAATCCAACTTCGTCACCCCAATTATGACCACTACAGTTCCCAAGCATGACACTAATCGCTCTTCATTCCATAGCTAATTTCTAGAAAATCAAACAAAAAGAGAGTACCAGTACAGTGACCAGTAAAAGTCAAGGCCTCCCATTTAATCATTTTATGAAATGCATTTCATACTTTCTGACAGCACAAACAACTAGTGCTTTCAACTCTCTGAAATTTTATTTTTTAGCAATTTTTCCATAAAGTAATATTTGTTTATGCACTAAATCATTCTGTTCCTCTATAGTTATATACTAATCAATTTGAATTTTCATATGTGAATTTGTTACCAAAAGTACTCAACATTACATATGAACCCATATTCTGGTCCCAACAAAACAAATCAACGATCTAGAAGATAGTATTTCCCAAACAAGGAAGAGTGTCTTTGAGCTCGTACCACAAGAGTGTCATCCGTGTAATCCCCCATGAACTCCTTCAGCTTCTCATTCACTCTTTCCCTTAGCATCGTGACTCCATCGGCCGTAAAATTGGCCTTGAACGTCCGGTTATCGGCGGCACGATCGACGCTCCCCATCTCCAATCCCAAACAAACACGTAAATCCAAAACAAAAAAAACCCTAACCAGCGTCGATTACCAAGATCGACAATGCTTTTCGAACCCTAAAAGAAGTTGATTCCGGTTTATCAATCAGAATCCGGTGAGAGTGGAAATGAGGAATCGGTGGAAGGAGAAGATTATTGATGGAATTTTCTCGGGAAAGTGACGGAAAATAATCGTTAAAACAAAAACTCCCCAGAGAGGGGAGGGAAGTGACGAGAGAAACAAATGGAAAGAACGTAAAACCTAATATAGTCTCCGTCGGTTATTGTACCCTACTGTACCCCAAATATCGCAGTGCACACGATTCTTGCTTGTTGTATATATTGGCTTTTTTTTTTTTTTTTTTGGTACATTGCCACCCATTCAACCTTCTCCGGACACTATGCCCTCGAGGTACGGCCTGTTTGGGCTAGCCCCTTATTGTAACCGTGGGTGCACTAAGTTTCGCAATCGGAGAAAGAACGAGACTAATCCCCTAACCGAAGATTTTTTGGCTTATCCTCTGACCCCAAAATTTTTTTCAAGAAACTGCTTGAGAGACACTTTTTTTATCATTGTGCTATCTTATCTTATTATATAAAAAAGGAAAATGTTCAGTAAAATTTAGTGGTTTATTCTTTCGTCATTAACTTCCTAGGAGTTCTTTTGATCATTTATTTCTTTTATGATTAATCTCATCTAAATTTATTTTTAACATTATTAAAACTTAAACTAATTTACCTATTTTTATATTCTTGTTTTGCCTAAATCAAAAATATTAAGCTATCACAAAAAAAAAAATTCTAAACATATTGAGACTTAACAAATGAAATAACCTCTTTCGGATATCATATTCATGGTTCAAATGAAATAACATTTCTCTCTAATTTGATACTGTCAATTTCCGCCTTTAGTATGGACACACAGCATATGCAGTCCATCTCCCGCTGCCACTACATGCCAATGCCAACTCATATAAAAAACTTTGTTTATATTATTATTGTTTATTTTTCATTGTTTGATTTTCACAAATATTTAGAATTATGTACTTTTCAACGAGCTTTTATTAATAATTATTATTAGAAAATTTTATTTTCTATATTATTAAATTTCAAAATGAGTATGGAAAATGATTGGATACCCACATTGGTCCAATATGATATAATGGGAGTTTGGTGAGCCCAATGATAAAGAATCAGAAAAAGGGTTATAATACTTCCGCATAAGAATTCAGTACTATAGTGATTTGACTGAGGAATATCATCCATCCCATAATTCAAAGGCATTAAGAAACAATAATTGTTGCGATGGAATTAGGTACACTTTAATTCTTTAGTCGATGATCCAATACATCGGGGGTTTATGGTGATAGTTTTCACCATAGGATATTAAGAGAATCCCAACAATTATTTCATATATGTTTTACCAAACTAAAATTATTCAATAAAGTTCTATTCAACCACTAAATGATAACTTACATAACTAATATGACACGAGTTAAATGATTTAATGTATTATGTATGAGAATAATTTTACATTATTATTGTCTAAAATTTCACATGTTAAACAATCAAATTAGAACCCGTGCGTCTTTATTGCTATAAAATGTTTAGAGTGGATCAATAAGATATTATGGTCAATGAAACTTGAGCATAAAGATAAGGAGAAAAGGCTCCACAAGGTGATTTTTCAAATAAACATAATTATTATTAATAAGAGTGGTAAGTGTGTACAATCTTTGCTCAATCAATTGAGTGGTTTATCATGCATAATCACATATTTGAAGGGACGTTGTGCATCTATTCAAGCTGCCTTGGACCAAGGAAATCAAGATTTAAGCAATGCAAATGTTGAGAAGGCCACTGCAATTGAAAAGGCCAAGCAAAGTGAGAGAATCAAGAAGAGGTCATCTGAGAAATCTCGCGGTGTTGCAGAGAAGGAGTGAGATGAAGCTAAGAAGGAAAGAGATGACCTCGCCAAGGAGGTGATGTAGCCACGAACCAAAGCGATTACTTTGGCAAATTCAAACACTTCCTTGGCCAGTGAATGTAAAAAATATCATGCTCTCTGGGTTGCATTTGCAAAGAAGACAGAATAATTTATTTGAACAGGTTCGTCTAGTGAATCCAAACGAAGTCAATCTTTATGGGGTTCATTATCATCACTTCATTCAAAATGGTGTGCTAACGAGGACAAATGAATCAACTGCGAAACTTTGGGATCAATTGAGAGATGGTGTGAACAAAATGCGAGATCAAGGCCTGGCATATCAGCATTTGTCCAAGCAAAAATGTCTTTGTTTTGGAAGTGGATCTCAACTAACTTTTGCTTTTCCTCTGGGGGTAGATGTCGTCCCACTTTTATGATGTTTCCTGACAAAGACTTACCTAAATTTCTTCTAACTCTCTATCTGGCTGGGGACAAATATCCTACAGCTTTTCCCGCACATCTAGGTCAGTCATATCAACTAAGGCTTTTCCTTTTATTATCCTCAATGGGATGGTATCTGGGCTTTGGTGGTGTATTTACTTTGAGACTTACATTATAACAACTTTTGGCCAACTTCTGATCTCCTCTAACAGCAACTACTCTTCCTTGAGGATCTTGGAACTTAATGAGCAAGTGTAGCATAGAGATAATTGTCCCAATATTGACTATTGATGGTTTGCCTATGATACCATTATAAATAGAAGGACAATCAATAACATAAAAATGCACCTTAATAGTTTTTGCCCTGGGAAGGATCCCAAAAATGACTTGCAGTTCAATGGTGCATTTAGCTTGTATGTATTCGCCAGAGAATCCCAACAATCCTATCTGGCATAGAGTTATTTCTTCTTCTAGGATATTCATTCATTTAAAAGCTTCACAAAATATGATGTTGACAGAACTTTCATTATTAATAAACACTATTTTCACATGGAGATTGACCACGAAAGCTGAGATTACTAGTGGGTCATCATGTCCTTAGACTATGTCATCAAAGTCTTCCTCGTCAAAGGATATTGGGGAGGTTTTCCTTTGACATGGTTCATAATTTTTGTGGCCTAACATCGTCATGATGATTTTAAAGTGTCGTTTCCTCTAGGAACAAGATTCTCCTTATCTAGCTACTCTCTTATAGATCATTCCTAAGACACATGCGGTGTTGTTGGGAAGTTATGGTTGTGTAGGTTCTTGTTGTGCAGCTGGCTGTTCTTATTAGGGTCTTCTATCGTGGTGTCGGTCATCTCGTAATATTCTGTACGTCTATAATTTCTTATTTCATAATAGTATCTTCTGGGGGAATTTATATCCTGGTCTGGACTTTTATCTTTCTTTCTGTACTCAGGTTCCTTTTTACAGTAGGAGATGAAGTGCTTGAGCTTCCCATTTTTGATTAGAGTTTCTATGGTGTTTTTAAGGTAAAAACATTCAATCGAATGGCCAAAATCTTCACGGAAGTCACAATAAATGGATTTGTCCAAATTGTCCCTCTTGCGGATAGTTCAGGATTTGAGACATTTAAAAATCCCATTTGGGAAACTTCCTTTTGTACGTGGGATCTATAAGTGTTTAAGGGAGTGTAATCCTCAAACTTTCTTGAATCTATGAATCTTCTTATGAAATCTTTTCTATTGTCACTTGTTTTTGGCTTCTTTGTCTGATCAATGCGAGATCATTTGTAATCTTCCTAGTTGATGAGTATTTCTGATCTCGCCCTTAATTCTTCAACAGTTTTTTGCCTTTATTTCGCCAAAGATGTAGAGAATGGTCCACCTTGAAGACCATCTGTAATGAGATGCAACGAGACTTGAGGATCTAAATCTCTTACTAGGAGAGCTTCATCAAAGAATCTAATCAACTAATCTCGTAGGGATTCATGGGATCTTTATTTAACTACTTAAGACGTGGTGGATTTATATTGCGCCTTGCTAGTGACAAACTGTACTATGAAATGGTTGGATAGATCCTCCCAATTATGGATGTAGTTTGGTGGCAAGGTTGAATACCACCTCAAAACTACTTCTTTCAAGGTGGTGTGAAATAAATAACAATTGACTACATCAATGATATCCTATGTCATCATATTGGTCTGAAATTATTCTAGGTGTTCCTAAGGTTCACCTTTTCCATTGTATTTGTCGGTGAATTTTTTTATGTCTTTTGGTATGGGTAGGTCCATGATTTGTGAGGTGAATGGATGGGCTACTTTGGAGATAGTATTGGGGTTCGGGTTGGAGTTTCGGTTCATATGGTGATTTATTGTGTGGATGACGATTGTAATGATGTTTTTGCTTGCCTTGCCTCAGGGATTGGTTTGGCTCTTCTTCTCGCTGGATGTTTTCATCTTATTTTTTTGCCATATTTGATTGTTTGTCATTTTTGGCATGTTGTTGTAGCTTTTTAAGCTTTAGTAATTCTTTTTGCTGGTCTTCAATTCCTTGGCCTTGTTGTTTCAGGATCTCGAGGATCTGCTGGTTGGTTGCAATAATTTGTTGGCAGAGTTAGGGTTGTTCAGGTTGAGGAGGAGAGGTTGGAGAAATGAATGAGGTTGTTTTGGGATCTTGTCATCTTGCTCCTAGTATCAACCATGATTTTAATTATTTGGTGTGTAAGTCGAAATTTATCGTTCTCCACATACGGCGTCAATGATTGGTGCAATAACTATTGGGCTGAATCATACATGGTTAAGCCTGTTATTGGAGAGTTAGGATTGAGTCGATACTCCACTTACGGGATGTTTGGTTGGTTCACGAGATGCTTAGGCTAGAACTGATGTTTTTTGTTGGTCCCAGATGAACTCAAGAGGGGGGTGAATTGAGTTTTATAAAAATAATTCGCTAATTAAAATTAACTCAAAGCAATAAATCAAGATAAGGATAGAGAAATATTAACACAATAGTTTTTACGTGGAAAACCCAAAAGGGAAGAAAAACCACGGGCCCTAAAATCGAGTACTGAAATTCGACGGAAAACTCCACTATGAAACTTGTGTACAAAGAGTTCTCTAGTATCCTAGTCTACCCTTTACACAAATTCCCAATTGGTATCCTAGTTTCCCAGTACGAAATCCTAACCCTTTAGGATTCTGAAACCCTATCACACAAGGGTTCTCAAGTTACTCTCAATTTCTAAGAAAAAGAGACATGCTGGTATTCCAGCACAAGAACTGGTATCCAAGTTTTTCAGTACAGACCTTCAAAAAGGTCAAGAAAGAAAATAACAATTAAACTATTTACCTCAGTGCTTCTTTTCCTTAAGCAGATAGGTTATCTGAATTCCTATGGAGAAATATTCAC